GTCACATTTTCAAATTTCGTCGTCGTCCTTGTTATTAAAAAAAACGTCAGTAGTACAACTCACCCACTTTGTCAGTATTCTCTTTTAGTTTTTCTTGCCACTTCACCCAATTTAGCTACTTTATTCCTTATTTCCCTCCTTTTTCCTAAATCTTTATATATATATATATAGTGAAATTTATTCTCTCTGTTTTCTTCCCCATTTCGTGGGCCAGTTTTATAGTTGTCTTACCTACACCTTTCCCTGCACAAATAGTTTATAATTTCAATCTTTCATGCGTTTTATTCGTACTGTAAGCTTTATAAAAAATTAAAAAAAAAAAACCATTAATGGGGTGTATCCTTCCTATCCTTTTCTTAAATAAGAATAAGGAATAGACAGTGGAAAATGAGATAGAATCAATTGATCATCATAAAAGAGTATCTGTGGGCTAATCTAACGGTGGTGATGCGTTAGATGAGAATGCGTTGTGAGATCAACCACAAAAGTCCATTCAATATGAGCATATTTACTGGGGAGAATCTCATATAGAGTATTCAGAACACAGAAATTTGCAATATAATTTGAAAACTCTCTGCCAGCCCAAAGGCTTCAAGTGAAAATATATTGTAATGAGAAAAGACATATTTGCCCTCCCTCTTTTCATAAATGCATGACACAATGTTCATATATTATCAACACAATATTCTATAATGTACAATTGGTCTAATAAAAATGGTTTGGCTTGAAATGTACAAGTTGTGAAGGATGAAAGAATAACATATATCCATAAATGTACAACACACACTGTCCATAAAATCTCAACACAATATCTTGTAATGTATAATTGGTCTAGTAGAAATAGTTTAACTTGAAATGTACAAGTTGTGCGGGATAAATGAACAATAGAATGTCTAAAAATTCACAACACAAGTCTATAAATTTTCAACATAATGTGTTGTAATGTACAATAAAATGTCCAAAAGCAAGTGTCTTTTTTCATTAAAATATATTTTCACTTAAAACCCTTGAGCCTACAAAGGGTTTTCAAATTGTACTGAGCTCTAAATGCAAAATTTTATGCCGTGAGGGCCCTAAGTGATATTCTCCCTATTTACTATTTAGTTTGATGTTTTGATACCATATTCATTACACAATAAGTAAGGGCAAATTGGCCTCTCAACTATAGTTCTGGAAGGGTCTTAATCCTAAATTCATCTTTTATGAAATATTTTTTTTAACTTTTGAAATTGGTGTAATTTAATTCTACCATTAACACAAATTAACTTTGACCATTACTTGATTAAAAAATGATCAAAAATGACCTAAATAATTACTAAAAAGTTAATTTTCTTGGTAAATTTCTGTCATTTTTTAAATCCTTGTCAGTAATTTTTGGGTCTTTTTTTATTATTTTTGTGATTATTTTTTGTCATTCTTTGATAAACTAATTGTCAAAATTAGCTTTTATTAATAGGAATGGTCAAATTATACTAAAAAGTTGAATAGAAATATTACATAAAAGATGATTTTAGCAACAAAGGGTCTCTCTTTCTTTTCTCTCATTTTCCCTCATTTTCTCAATCCTCACCCTTCATCAAATTTGCAATTAAAATAAATTTATTTAACAAAATAAAATTAATAGTAGAGATTGGGAAAAGGAGAAAAAAGAAAGGGATAGACTCATCTCCCTAATTTTAGTGTCTCAAACTTTTAGGAGCTAATTTGCTTATTTATCCAAATTTGAGTCTAGGTTGCTACTTTTCACTTTTCGCACATTTTTTTTTATGTTCTCAACAACCACAACATTTTACAAAAAAAATTAGGATAAAGGGGTAAAAATACTTATAAAGTGGTTAGCCAGGGGCACCAAGTATCCTAAAGTGAGAAAAAGGGCATAAATACCCATAACATTATATGAGTAAATGTAAAAGTGATCAAACTGTTAACTTTGACCTAACACCATTAACTTTGACCATTTAATGCTAATTGTGCATGCCATGTGTCAGTCTTTGCTGATGTGGATTAATAAAGGGGCAAAAATATTTATGAAGTCATCAGCCAGGAGTAAAAATACCTATAACTTTATCAAAGTTTGTGTAAAAGTGACCAATCTATTAAATCCCTTAAATGTTGACCGTTTAACTGACACCTAAGTAAAAGTTGACCATTTTTTATTAATGTAGATAAAAAATATTCCTAGATGAAATTCTCTAGAGGTTAATCAGTCATTGTATGAATATCATGTGAGAAAATGTCATTTTGACTGAATACCAAATTAAATCTCTTGTTTCTTTGCAACAATGGCAAAATCATTTGAAAATTTTGAACCTATCATAAATGAAATTGCTTAAGGTTGTGACAATGTTCTTAAGATAGAGTGATGTAAGGGGTGTTCTTAGTCTTGATTTTTGATTATGTATAATCTATCTCACTATGTTGAATATCAAATTTTGTAGACAAGAAAAATGAGTGGAGAGGGAGGGAGGGAGGGAGGGAGGGAGGGAGGGGGCAAAATACGTGGCAATGGAAAAAAACCATATGACATGAATTTTGATGGATTGGTCATTATTGCACCTACTAAAATAACATTATAGGTACTCATATGATGATTGATCAACCTCCATAAAAATTCATCTAGAAATATTTTTTGTCTACATCAAGGGAAAAATGGTCAACTTCTGCTTAAGTACCAACTAAACGGTCAACATTTAAGGAATTTGATGGATTGATCACTTTTGCACCAATTTTGGTAACGTTATGCATATTTTTGCTCTTGTTCAACAACTTCGTGAATATTTTTACCCCTTTATTAGTTCACATTAGAAAAAACTTGACACATGGAATGTATAATCGCCACTACTAAGAAAAAATTATATTAGTGACGAATAATTAGTGACAACTTTATATCCGTTACTAATTATAGTGATTAGTGACAGATTAGTGATAGATGATAATATCAGTCACATTTCTTTTAAAAGTTTATAATTTGTGACAGATATAATTTGGTCACTAATTATCGGTCACTGAATTATGACAGATGCTCAAAGTTATTACAATTTTACAAAACAATCACAAAATTAGTGACTAATAAATAGTGACCTATGGATATCCGTCGCTAAGTGTGAAAGTATAATAACAATTAATTATTTATGTTAATATAAAATAGATAATTAATTTAATTGTATTGTTAAAATAAAAATATATTATTAATAAAGATATTAATGTTAAAAATAGGAAATAAAAATATATTTATGTTAAAATGATTTATTAATAATTGATAAAAATTTTCTTTTAAATGTTATAAATATTTTATACCAATTATGATTACTTTTTAGATGCATTTAGATGGGTAAAATATTAGGTTAATTTTACTAATATAATATAATAAAAAATTGAACATGAAAATTAATATAATTTCAGAGTCACATTAGACTCTAAAACTAAAACCCTTCCCTCCTTTGCAATTCTATTATCACTAAACTTGCGCTCTGCTCCCGCCGTTGATCTCCAGTGCTCTGCTACTGATGCTCGAAGAAATCAGGCGCACAACAATTTCTCTTTCTCGCCTTACTCAGGTACGCTTTGCCTTTGACCCCCTTTGAGCACAATAAACATTTCTCTTGATTCAACATGAGAGTAGGTTTGAAAAAGGGCTTTCTTAGATAGTCTAGGTTTGAAAAAAAAAATTCACAGCCTTTTCCCCTGCCACTTTGCTTTTGTCTGTATTCTTGCTCTCATTATGATTTTCTTATTCTCAGTTGTTGAATATGCCTAAAGAATTAGGACTCCTCTTTCGAGACTATGGGAAGGGATAATGAAATTATTTAATAGGTTGCTAAACACTACAATGAACTTTATTCCCTTTGCCTAAAAAGTTTTAGCTTTACTTCGGGAGACCCAAATTTATACAATAACTTGAATGGACCAATATAATAAAGCCACCAAGGAAAAGAGGATTTTGACTTTTCTTAGCTTGCTTTGGAACGAAACCACATCAAATTGTTTTGTTTAATAATATTTTTATGGTGATTAGTTTTAGAGTCTTTTGTTTTGTGGTGTGGGATTTATTGAAATTTAATTATATGCTCTGGTAGTCAATCGCAGGGTCAGTTCAACAAAGGAAATTTTGCTTTTAATGATTTGTATATTAATTTATATGTATTCCAAGGTGAAGGTTATGCATTGAATCTGCAATTGAAAGGCTAACAACTCTTTTTTCTTCTTTCAAAGCTGAGGTAATATCTTTATCATGCTTCTATTTCTCTGTTTTTTACCTTTCTCATTTTCTTACTTTTTCATTCCCATTGATTGTAATGCTTAGCTCTAGCTAGTGACCATCAGGGATGGAGAAGAAACAATCAAGTGAGATGGGGTTAAAACCAAAAAGTGTGTTTTGGCTTATAGTATTCTTACCTTTAAATTTATGTAATGCTAAAACGAACAATTAACTGTCAAGCTTTTTGTCCTCCTTGCTGCAGCTAAAAATTAATTATATGCTTCTAATTATATTATATTCATGTCCACTTAATCATAGCTTTTTCTTTTTTGATTAATTATATTCACCATATGCTTTTAACTTGATTTCTTTCTTTCTTTGTTCTTTTCTTTTATGCAGTCCTTTGAAGTACATTGGTACAAATCTTGCAGCTTTGCATAACTTTATTATTAGCAAGTAAGCCTAATTAATTAAGTTACCAAATTATACATGCAAGCAGTTTTTTAATGTTTTAAAAAAGGTCATTGGATAATACATTTTTGCCATGAAATTTCATATTTATAGTTCTACATGTGTGCTATTTGATGTGCAAAATTTCCATTATTTTTAGAGCTCCTTGGTAGATTACAATTTAATGGTTTTTAGATGCTAGGCCATTTGATTGTCATCCCAGGAGTGTTATTTTTTTTTAACTATATTAAACTCTTTACTAGTTTTAGACTTAGTAAACCTTATTTCTTGAATTAGTTATGTTAATTAGTTATTTTGTCTTAAATAATTACATGGTATCATGTAGAAGACTATGAGGGATGATCGAATGTGGATGTATAGTCGGCGTGACGAAAGTGAAAAAGGACTCAACAAAAAGTTTATAGATGGTGTAGAACAATTTGTGGCATTTGTTCTTTCTCAACCAAATCTAGTCTCAAATGGCCAAATAAGGTGTCCGTGTTCAAAGTGTGACAATAAGAAATTTTTAGAGTATGAAATCGTCAAGGTTCACCTTTATCGTCATGGTTTTGTCCCCAATTATGACCCATGGAGTTATCACGGGGAACTTTTACATTATGATAATGTTGATTATGAGGTTGCTAGAGATATTGAAGAAAGAGTTGAAGGTGTTAATGAAACAAGGGATGATGTTATCTTAGAAAACCCATATTATACCATGATTTTAGATGCTGTTGGTCCTAGTGTCAATCCTAATACTAATATAGAGTTAGATGATCTTCCAAGCCATAATGCTCAAAAATTTTATGAGATGTTAGAAACTGCTAAAGAGCCACTGTATGAAGGGTGTAGTAGGCACACTCCATTATCAGCAATATCTAGTTTGTTAAATATCAAATCTGAGTTTAACTTGAGTGAGAATTGCTATAATTGTATTTTACAATGGGTAAAAGAATTGTTGCTAAATGATGAAAAATTACCTAAAGACTATTACAAGACTAAACAAATGGTAGGACAACTTGGTTTGAAGTATGAGAAAATAGATGTGTGTCGAAATGGTTGTATGCTGTACTATAAGGAGAACAAGGAAAGGAGGGAATGTTTGGTGTGTGGCCATGATCGCTTTAAATCTAGAAAAAGAGATAATGGAAGTAATAAAGACATACCGTACAAGGTGCTGCGTTATTTCCTATTGACTCCAAGATTACAAAGGCTTTATATGTCTTCTAAAACAGCAGAGCACATGGTATGGCATCATAAAACAAGGCGAGAGCCAGGGGTCATGTGTCATCCTTGTGATGGCGAGGTATGGAAACATTTTGATCAATGTTATCCCTCTTTTGCTTTAGAACCTCAAAATGTTAGGTTAGGCTTATCATCAGATGGGTTTACTCCATTTGGGCAATCTGCACATCCATATTCATGTTGGCCTGTAATTGTTACACCATATAATTTGCCCCCTGGGATGTGCATGAAAACCCCATATATGTTTCTTACTCTTATAATTCCTGGCCCAAAGAGCCCTGGGCAAAAAATTGATGTGTACTTGCAACCTTTAATTGATGAGTTGAAAGAATTGTGGGAGGTTAGTGCTTTAACCTATGACTTATATAAGAAGTAAAATTTTTATATGAGAGCTTCACTATTATGGACTATTAATGACTTCCCTGCTTATGGCATGTTATCGGGATGGAGTACGCATGGAATTTTGTCATGCCCAATTTGTATGGAGTACAGCAAATCATTCTTCTTGGAAAAAGGAAAAAAGGTGATATTTTTTTATTGTCATCGTCAATTTTTGCCACTACAACATCCTTTTCGTCAAGATAAAATGTCATTTTATAAAGGGTGTGATGAGAAATCTCCTATCCCTCAAAGATTTTCTAGTGATGACTTATGGGAAAAAGTTTGTTGCTTGCCAAGAATGATGGAGAAAAATGGAACTTACAAGTTACCTGGGTTTGGCAGTCAACATAATTGGACTAAACGTTCTATATTTTGGGACTTGCCTTATTGGAATACCAACTTGATTAGCCATAATCTTGATGTTATGCATATTGAGAAGAATGTATTTGATAATATATTCAATACTGTTATGGATGTTAAAGGTAAGACGAAGGACAATGAAAAGGCTAGAGAGGACTTGTCTACTTATTGTAACTGGCCAGAATTGACATTGTTTAAGAGTGCTGGAAAGACAATGAAGCCAAAAGCAACATAAACTTTGACAAAGCAACAAAGGAAGTTGGTATGTGAATGGATTAAAAATTTAAGACTTCCTGATAGACATGCTTCAAATTTGTCTAAATGTGTTGACATGGAAAATGAAAAGGCTAGAGAGGACTTGTCTACTTATTGTAACTGACCAGAATTGACATTGTTTAAGAGTGCTGGAAAGACAATGAAGCCAAAAGCAACATAAACTTTGACAAAGCAACAAAGGAAGTTGGTATGTGAATGGATTAAAAATTTAAGACTTCCTGATAGACATGCTTCAAATTTGTCTAAATGTGTTGACATGGAAAATTGTAAATTGTTAGGGATGAAAAGTCATGACTGTCATGTATTTTTACAAAGATTGCTCCCAATTGCCTTTAAAGATTTATTACCTGAGGCTATTTGGAATGCCTTAACAGAAATAAGTCTATTCTTTAAAGACATATGCTCAACAATTATAACAGTGAAGCAAATGCAAAAGCTTGAAGAAAATATTGCTGTAACTATTTGCAAGTTAGAAAAGTTCTTTCCTCCAGCCTTCTTTGACTCCATGGAACATTTGCCTATTCACTTACCTTATGAAGCAAGAGTTGGTGGACCCGTTCAGTATCGATGGATGTATCCATTTGAAAGGTAAATTATAAAATATATTTTGTGATTAAATTTACTTATTATATAAATGAATACTCAATAGAAAAATTATTGTGTAGGTTTTTGCATCATTTGAAGAAAAAAGTTAAAAATAAAGCTCACGTAGAAGGGTCAATTTCTGAAGCATACCTTATGGAAGAAACATCTACATTCTGTGCTCATTACTTTGAACCTCATGTTCAAACAAAACTAAATAAAATTGATCGAAATGATGATCATAGTGAGGTTGACTGCCCAGATAGATGCCTTTCTATATTCAGACATCCTGGTCGCACAGCAGGAAAAGGAAAAACACGATTTTTGACAAATGATGAATTTAATGCAGCTTCTATATATGTTCTACTTAATTGTGAGGAAATCCAACCATTTCTTAGGTAAATTCAATCACTTTAAGATATTTATGCATTTTTTAAATGACAATTTACTTTACTAATGTTGGTAATCATTGCCATCTTGTAGAATATTTGAAGAACAACTTAGGAAAAGAATACCTAATGCAACCAATGAGGATGTAGAGACTAAGATAGATAGTGAATTTGCAAAGTGGTTGAAAGAATATATAAGTATCATGAACATATATATTTTAATACATGCCCTTTTAGTTTGTGTGATATGCTTATTGACAAGTTTTATTATGCTTAGTTTTTTGACCCAAATAACAATGTAGATGATGTTCGTATAAAGGATCTAGCTTTTAGGCCATCTAGAGAAGTACATACATGGTATCAATATTTTGTCAATGGATATCGGTTTCACACACATGCTTACAACTCATCAAAATCTACCATGAACTGTGGATTGTGCATTAAGGGAACAAATTATAATGAGTTTGAATATGACTATTATGGTTTGTTGGAAGAAGTGATAGAATTGCAATATTTTAATCCAACCTCTAAGAAAACTAGAGCGGTATTGTTTAAGTGTGATTGGTTTGATCCTCAATTAAATAGGGGGTGCAAGGTTCATAGTCGTTATGGCCTAGTTGAGATCAATAAGAGAAAATGATTTTCAAAGTATGAACCATTTGTACTTGCTCAACAAGCTCAACAAGTTTATTTTGGAGAATATGCTAGTAAGAAGAAGGAGAGGGCTGATTGGTGGGCTGTTTGTAAAATAAAAGCAAGGAGTATGATAAATGCACCAGAAGTAGCCTTCCAAGAAGATGATATGGGATTGCCATATGACACAAGCATGGATGTAATTAATAATCTTTGTGAAGGGTTAGCTGAAGAACTTGAAATACAAGAAAATGAGGTGAGATTACAGTATGAAACAAATGATGTTGATGAACTAGAAAAGTTAGATGAGGAAGATGAGCTTGAAAATGAGGAATTTCAAACTGAAGAGGAAGATGAACTTAGTGAGAGTGATAGTATTGAAAGTGATGAATCAAATACTGAAGAGGAAGATGAAGCTTAGGTTTGTAAATGTTAGCATTATTTTATTGCATTTGATCATTATGACATTTTTATTGAATTATTTTTATTATAATTTTAACTTGCTTATTAGTATTATTTTTCTTCATTTTGAAATTTTTCTATCTATAAATGTTATAGGGATGCCAAGGGGTAAAGCAAAACATAGATCATTTGGAGTATCAAGAAGTGTAAGCATTCATCAGCAAAATGTTAGAGGTGGTACTAACATAGAGCAAGCACCTATAGAGAATGCATCCACAGAGCAAGAACCCATTGTACAACATGCACCTATGGAGGAAGCATCCATTGAGGAACCACCAACTGATCATGAAATTCAACAAGAGGCTAATACTGAAAATGAGACACATATTGAAAATGATATATCCACTTCCAATGAGACTCAACAAATCGAGTCAAATAGACAAAAGAATAAAGTCTCATATCGAAAGTCTGCAGATGGGCGCATATACTTAGAACCAAATAATACATCGTATAAATAAAATTGATAAGTTTTTCTAGTATTTGTTTCTTTATTATTTTGATATTAAATCTAAATTTTGTTCATTTCATAGGTATCATCCTCATAATGCTGTGCGTATATTGTCATGTATAATAAAGAAGTTTTTTGGAGGACCATGGATTACTTGGGATAAAACACCATTTGAGGTTAAGCAACATTGGTTTGGAGAGTTCAAGGTAAACATTATTATTACTATTATTTAAGTTCTTTTCAAAGTAATGCAAATTACTATTTAGTTGAAAATCTTGGTTATTCAAGTTTATCCTAATTTGTTCAATTTTGTCTTTGTATCTTAGAAAGTATATATTTGGGAGGACAGGTTTGATAATGAGATACATAGACTTTATGAGAAGTTTATTGGTCGAGGTTGCTTGAAAACTGTCCTTTATAATGCAAGGAAGACATTCAAGGAAAAGGAAATATCACCTACTTGGATGAGTGAAGATAACTGGAAGGAACTTCAAAGAAAATATGTTGAGACTAATTCAAAGAAATCTGAGACTAATTCAAAGAATAGGTTGAGCAGTAAGGATGGACTTGGCCCATCATGCCACTCTGGAGGATCAATAACATCTTCAGAGCATAAGAGAAAATATGTATTAATTCTACTAAGTTCGTTACAAATTTTACAATTAAATCTACTTGTTTGACATATTTGCATGTATGTAAGAGGAAGAGACAGGGGGTGAAGCTCGTCCATCTCAAGTGTTCTTGATGACTCACAAGAAATCAAATTCTGAAGCCTTTGTTGACAAGAAATCAAAAGCAATATGGGTAAGAGTATTGTATTAGAAAATTTCAAACATGTCAACTCTAAATTCAACTAACCAACTCCACAAATATATATTGCTTCAATTTGTATTGCTTAGTTTAACGGAGGATTTGTGGTCTTGTTTGGTCTGATCTAGAAATGTAATTCCTTTTTATGAGCTCAAGTTTATTTTCAAGATTTTTTTATGTGCTTTGTTAATAAATGTCTGAATTTTATTAATATATCATTAAGAGTATTTTATTTTCAGGATAAGTTTCAAAGTGAGATGAAAGAGTCTCTAGATGATATGTCAGATGTTGGAGCTATTGACAGCCATGCCTTAGAGAATTTGAGCAATGAGCAAGAGATGTCAATTTGGACAAAAGTTGTTGGTGGTCCTAAAAAAGGAAGAATATATGGTCTTGGATCAGAGGCTACTAACATTTATGTTGCATCTTCACAAGCTTCAAGCCATGCACCTCCCCCTAGTCAGGACTACATACAACAAATGGAACTTAAAATACAAGAAGAGGTAAAGAAAAGGGAAGTACTTGAAAAGGAATTGCATGAATTGCAAGTGGTTGTACAGCAACTAATAGCTAGTCATGGATTGTCTCATCCTTGTTTGGAGACTCCACAAAATGTTGATCCATCTATAGGATCCACCTCAGCTGCAAACAAAGATAATTGATCTTTGTTCTTATTCAACTAAATGCTTTATTTTGTACTTGTAAGACACTTTTTTTGATTAATCTCTACTTTAACTTGTGACTGTTTTGAGAGACTTTCAATATTAATATTAATCTAATATCAAAAGCTTTTTTTATATTTGATTGTTGCTAATATTTTTATTTTAATAGGTAATTTTGTTAATAATGAATGAGAAAATAATATGCATGTATATATATATAGGAAAATACTGAATCAGTGACAAATTAGTGACGACCTGTGTCTTCACTAATTAGTGACAAACTATATGTGTCACTAATCAGTGACGGACTATGTTGGTTACTGATTAGTGATGGATATATCAACTTTAGTGACGTCTAATTTGGTCACTATCAATACATATTTATGACGGACATTTTATTTTAGTGATGGATATGCCCGTCACTATTAAGAAATATTAGTGACGGATATGATTAATTTAGTGACTGATTAATCTGTCACTAATTAGTGACAGATGACTATCCGTCACTTAAAAATTAGTCCGTCACTTAAAAATTAGTGACGCTATATTAGCGACCACCTTAGTGACCGATATGTCCGTCACTAATCACTATATTGGTGACGAATTTTGGCTATTAGTGACGGATTTGGCCATCACTAATATGGTTTTTTCTAGTAGTGAGCATTTAACGATTGAAGTTAACGACATCAGGTCAAAGTTAATGGTTTGGTCACTTTTGCACTCACTCATATAATGTTATAGATATATATGCCCTTTTCTTTACTTTAGAATACTAAGTGCCATTGGCTAACTACTTTTAGGTTTTTTTGCCTCTTTACCCATTTTTTTAATGGGAAATTAAAAAAAATTAAGAAAGGACTCCGCATATAATTAATTATATATGCCCATTTGTAAGAAGGCATACATGGGGAGATTGCAATAAAAATTCAAGATCTGCATAGACAATAATATAAGGGCTCTAATTTTAGATACTTGTTTTTCCCACTATAAATAACTAAAAAAATTGGATTCACTAGCAACGTAAACAAAATACTAACTTGACATTACATTATTCACATTATCAAACATGAAGGATACATAACATAAGCAACAAAAGGACGTATAACAACAAGTGCACCAGTACACAACCACGTCGTTCCTATTTACTTAAGGGATAATATAACTTTTTATTTTAAATTTTTTTAATTATTAAGTTAGTTCTTTTGATCCAAAGCCCATTTACATGCAAACTCTCTAAGTTTTAACTAGAGTCGGTAATTCGAACGTGCCAGGCTTATTCAAATCAAACTTAAAGTATCCTACCCCCTTAAAAAAGCCTAGTCAAGCTCGACCTTAACTTTTTTAAACTGAGTTCGGGTTGGCCCAGGCTTGGCCAAAATTACCTACTCTACATACACATAAAGCCAAAAATTTTAATGGTCGGGCTCACTCAAACTGAGCTTAAAGTATCCTACCCCCTTAAAAAGTCCATATAGTCAAGCCTGATACTATTTTTTTAGGCAAATTCAGGCTGTCCCGTCGGGCTTAGCCTAAATTACCGAATCTAGTTTTAACCTTTAATTTTTCTTTATTAGAAAAAAATTTTAATTTTTAATATTTAAATATCAATTATGTTATAATTACTAATTATTATCCTAGCTTTAGTTTTAAAAATTATTCCAACACTCAATTTTAAAACTTCTAATCCAAACACAGTCTTACATATCAATGAGAACCATAATAAGACTAAAAAACCTAGTACCACAGAGCAACAAAGTGAGCCTTATGGCAAGTTTGGTTCGTTTCCTTGCATCAATCCTGATGCATTTCATGAAATCATAATGTTTGGTCGGCACTCATTAATGTAAATAGGATTACATGCTGTAAACAACATTCCTTAAATGGCTGCAATAAGATTACATAGTTAGACCTAATAAAAGGGGATGTGGGCCTGCCGTTATAAGTTTTTATTATGACTAGATTGTCCTTTTTCCCCAAATATATAAGGAATCATGGAGAAGAAAAAACCCCACGCGCAAAAATTTTTGGAGACAATCGTGCTTGCCAAATCTGCTTGCAGGTAAGTGTTCTCTATTTGATACAATCTATCCTCATGTTCAGCTTTGATTTTTTCTACTTCATATATGCAAAATCTGTTTTATTTAATTTCCTCTACTTAATATGCTAATGCCAAATCTGAACAAAAGTTGCTTGCAAATCTTTATTTAATTTACTCTACACAATAGTTTGTCACCATCAATTCCTACTGCATAATAATATGCTGACAACAACTATAGCGATTCATCAATTCATTCTTTATTCACTTCATTATTATGCTTCACGTCAATTTGCTGGCATCAACTCTTTTGATCTACACAAAAGTGGGTGCATATAATATTATAATATTATTATAATATTTTAGTTAGTGCTTTATACTATTGTGAAATTATTATAAAATTGTAGTGGGTGCTATAAGCTTTTTTTAATTGGGCACAATCATGGATGAAGACCGATAGCAATTCATCCTTCATATAATGTTGGGTTGCTTTATGACTATGCATGCTGTTCATATAATACTTGTTGACATAATGTCTAGTGTGGCTTTATATAGCACTAGATGCATTCATGATTGGTCATACATCCTTGATTTCCATAAAAAAGAAGACATCATAGGGAGATGCTACATGGTAGTGCTATAACTTGTTTCAACCAAATTAGGATGTATAGATGTACATTTTTCCAACTTTTGGCATGTTAGAGACCATAGGGGGTCTAAAACTGAGTAGACATATGTTAGTGGATGAACAAGTTGCAATCTTCTTGCATATACTTGTTCACCATATGAAAAATAGAGTTATTCAGTTTGAATTTAGGAGGTCAGGGGAAACCATAAGTCGATATTTCAATATAGTTGTAAAAGCAGTTGTTCGCCTCAAATATGAGTTATTTAAGATACCAGAGCCAATTCCTAAAGATTCAACGGATGAGAGATGGAAGTAGTTAAAGGTAAACATAAAACACATGTTTCCATAGTTTTAAAGTCAATTCTTTTTTACTAATGAACAAATAATCGTAAGGCTGTCTTGGTGCATTAGATGGAACTCACATAAGGGTTCAAGTGCTTAGACAAATAAAGGGTAGGTATCGAAATAGAAAAGGAGACATAACTACCAATGTTCTTGGTGTGTGCTCTCCAAATGGTGAATTTATATTTTTTTTTTTGGGTTAGGAAGGGTCTGCAACTAATGACAGAGTCTTGAGAGATGTAATTAGTAGACCAAATGGTTCAAAGTTCCTCAAGGTATGATTTTTAGTTTTGTACTGGTATAATTTAATTTACTTTATGGGTTGTAATAATAGTAATATGCTATTTGCAAGGAATTATTATCTAGTTGATGCAGGGTATGCAAATTGTGAAGGCTTTCTAGCCCCATATAGAGGACAATAGTATCACTTAAGTGATTGGTGTGATGGAAGACTTCTTGAATCTCCACAATAGTGTTTTAATATACAACATTCATCTGCTAGGAATGTCATCGAAAGGCCATTTGGGATCTTGAAGATGCATTGGGCAATATTAAGGAGTCCTTCATATTATCTTATTTGAACTCAAAATCGATATATACTTGCTTGTTGCCTCTTGCATAATCTCATTATGTGAAACAATGAAGACGACCCTATTAAGGCTAAATTTGATGCAATTAACTCACCGAAACCCCAAACAGACATCAATCCTATCCCAACCATGAAACCATCAAATGCTTGGAGTGCTTTTCAGGAGAACATGGCTAATGAAATGTTTAACGTATTTATAGCTTGTAGGACTAATAGATAAAGACTTTGGCTACTATGAATTGTTCGATGAAATGACTTCTAATGTTTTAGCTACTACGATTTTAGTTTATTTGTATTATTATGTCCAATACATTTGCACGACTTGTATTTTATATATTAAAATCTTTTATGAGTTGGGATCTTTTAGACTCTTATTGCTCTTTCCTCACTTTTTATTACATAGAATGGAAACACAAGAAGATATTAGTAAGGGTAGCAAGCATGTTTGGATAGTTCAAGAAGACAGCATGCTTGTTGAATGCTTGGTCCAATTAAAAACCGATAGGAAGTTTGTTGCAGATACAGGATTTAGTATGGGGTATTTGAATAGACTAAAGGAGATGCTAGAGGCAAAGGCTCCAGGTTGTGGATTGCATGCTAACCCTCATATTGCTTCAAGGTTAAGAACATTCAAGAAGTCATGGCAAGTTGTATATGATATGGTGAATAATAAAAACACTTCTAGCTTTGGATGGGATACTGAAAAGAAGTGTGTGATAGTTGAAGATCATGTAGGGGCTGAATATGTGAAGGTGATAGAGTTACTGTTATATATAGTTAGATTTTATATTTTATATTATTATTTTTATTTTATTTTATTTAATATATATATATATATATATAAACCATTTATTCTTCATTTTCAGGTTAAGAAGTAGGCTGGAAATTTTAGGAATAAATGCTTACCTCACTTTGAAGATCAAACATATATATGAGGTAAGGATTGTGCAATTGGAATGATTGCCTCAATGCCTTCATCTCATGCTGAGGATGATGAAGAGGATTATAGAATTGAATGTGAGATCAATGCTAAACAAGGAATTAACACAAATGCAAATGTTGATGCATCTAAGCAACAACCTGTGTAGTCAATTGAGGTGAAATCATCTACAAAATGAAAGCGAAGGAGTAGTCATGATATTATAAAGGTGCTTGCTAAAGCTATAAAGGATTTATCTTCTCATATAGACCACTCAATGATGAAATTCTTAGAGAATTTATGTAAGGAATTTGCTAAAATGTGAAAAGAGTCAAGAAGGATTGGTCTTATTGATTTAGACAGAGCAAAGGAAATATATAGGCAACTTATGAGAGTACAAGGACTCACACGAGGTGAGATAAACAAGGCTCAAATAAAGATTACTGAGTCTCCATCACTAGTGGTTGCATTCACACTAATTCCTGAA